ACTAGGATGAGCAGGAAATACATTTAGCTCTGAGATATGAAGTGCCCAGAAGCAGTGAGATCAGAAACTGCTCTGAAACAAGGCAACTTTCCTCACCTGTGACTCTCCCTGTGTATGCAATGCAGTGCACACGACAGCATTTCCAGTGGCATTTTAAATAGGGAGCAGAACCTGCCCCACTCTCAGCACCATGCAAGGGTTCCCTCTGCACCTGGCAGTTCCCAGACATAACAGTGAAAGCAACAGTTTCTGTTTCCTTTCCTATTTATTCCTCTTTTTCTTTTTTTTCCTACATTATTTTTAGTAAAATTGTTGTTTCAGTTGGTTTGCTTTGTTTTGTTTCCCTTTCTTTCCATAGGAACTACCCAAATCCCATTGCTTGTTGGAGCCTCTGGTTTACTACCGGTCACTTCATACTATATATCTTAATATATCTTAAGGCTTTGCTTTCTTCTCCATGCAACTCTTCCAGTGCAGCACAACCTTCCTCTGTCTTTGGAACTGTTGGTGGCACACACACAGCACTGAGAAACAAGAGGACTGACATCAGTGACTCCTAGGTTCCGAGGTCTTCCAGCTGATCACACAGAGGCTCCCTCCTTTCAATGTGTGGCCACCCAAATCACATTTCACAACATACACCATGTCTAGTAACTTCTCAAATGCTTTCTCACAGCTCTGCCTGGCACAAGTCTCTTGCTGGGGGCAAACACCAAACTCCTATTATCTGCTCCAGACTCATCCATACTGGTGTTTCCCCTTTAACTTAGACAGATGCTTGTGCTATAGCTCTGCTATTCTCTGGTTATGGTCCCTAATTCCTTCGCCACCCCTTCATTTTCTAAGGTTTCAAATACCCAGTGCTGTTATCTGCTGTGGAGAGTAATGAGGTGCTGCTCAGCTCTGGTTACACTTGCTTTAGTGCTGGAACAGCATGTTTGTGGCTTGGTATCAACTAAACAGTCATTGTTTCCAAGTAGCTGCAAGGGGCTTATTTATTGCTATTGGAACCTCTGAGCTCAGGGTGAGGGCTGCGCTTTTGAAAAGCCAGCTCTGTGCAACACAGCAGCACTTCCCACCCCCAACATCCCACAGAAATTAGGCAAACCGTAAGTGCAGCAGAGCAGCTGCCTGACAGACTGATTAGAAAACGGTGTAAAAAAGTGTGAAAAATACTGTATTCAGCTGAAGCTGCAGGGAACAACAGAAGGAAAATAATTAGCCAAGTCAGATATTGGCCAAGGCACTGCGTCTTCTGAGCCTTCTATTTCCTTCATCGTACAGAGGGATCTTTAAATAACTGGTAGTAAACGAGGCTTTGTTTATATCTCACCTTAAAAAGCTACAAGCAGAGCTGTGCACCCTAATAGCATCGTTGGCTCTGACGTGATTCATAGGCAAGGGGGCCATCTGCTGAATTCCCAGCACTGCTTTCTGTTGTATCCTGCAAGGTTTTACCTGGAAGTTGCACAGCCGCGTCCCCTCCAGTGCCGGCACTGCCAGGCTGTGAGGTGACAGCACGCCTCCAGGCAGGCCTGGCTGCAGGTGAGCACTGCAGCACATCTGCCATGGCTCCAAAACCACAGCCAGCAAGTGAGCACAGCAATCCACATCAGGCTCAAAAATCCCACAGACAGTATCCCGGTCTGAAATGCACGCAGGAGCTCTGTGTCAAAGTGCATTTCACTAAGTAGAGATTTTCAGAGTGAGAAAACTTCCTACTGCTTGCTCGTAATATGGTCACGAACAGAACTTTTCAGACAAAAGCAAAATGCTAAAGCACGGTGAATCAGCTCTCTGCAACAAGCATTTCCCCCCTCCCACTTACTACCTTTCCCCTCAGCAGTGCTGGCACTGCCCAAACCCAGTGCTCTCTTTCCTGACACTCAACTTACTGGGAACTGTTTCTCATTCCACTCTTCCTAAACTCATCACCATGTACTTCAGAACCCAACTTCCTAACCACTTCTTTCCCACACAGAGAAATGATCACAGGAAATGTGGAGTTTTAGAGAGCTTATAACAATGTTGCCCCAGGTCAACATGTGCAGATGAAGTACATTATCTTTGTAGTCTTCGAATGGCACTGATGGAGGTGGTTTAGTGCTATTGCAGTGGTGGGCTGACATATGGACTTGGTGATCTTGCCTTTCCCAACCTTTACGATTCTATGTATCTTTGGTTTTGGTACTGCTACAGCACATGGTCTCTCTATACCAGAAAGATGGATCACATTTGTTTCCGATGCAATAATAGCAAAGAATGCTAAATAAATACTATGGAAGCATCTAGACTGAAAAAATCCTTGTTCACATAGCCATGAAATTTGATAAAGGTATTTAAAATATTCACCACTGCTCTCATTTTGGAAAGCATAGCCTTAAGTCTACTGACATTTCATGGTCTGTTAATACAACACTTTAAATATAGAAAGGTACACATTATACATTAAAAATTTTGTAGACTCATGAATAAGATAGTTCATAGTATACAAGTAGAGGATTGTTTAATGGTAGGAAATATAACTTATAATCTTCAAGGTTACTTCCAAGGCTAGCATATCAAAAATGGCTGTGAGACATAACCTTTATCTTCCAAAGTTACAATCAGGAGTTATTAAATGAAATAATTAAACAAAAAAGTACACGGTATACAAATAAATGCCACTTGTCTGGGACCTACTTAGACACAGAAGTGGTCTGAAGTTTAAGTCATAGCTTATTGTTAAAGAAAATATAAAAACCTTGAAGGTGTGTTTGTATGGTGCTACTTGTTGGTTGTTTTTATTTCTTTTTATTTTTTTCTGAAAACAGTTTTATTACCTCAATTATTACTAAATTCCAATACAGATGACTCCCACCTCTATAATATAAGGAAATACCCAGGTGTTGTGTTCACTGTTCCCAGTCCTGAACACATTGATGAGCAAGAAGTATATGGTCTGGAAAGTTGAAAGTTTGTAAGCACATAGAGATAACTCCAGAAAAATCACTGTTTTCTGTATGTAAAGTATACGATTATCTTACTTGCCAAGAAAGCATTCCTTATTTTTCACCTGAAACCTGGACTCCCCTACGAAAATATGAAAATAGCGTACATAAAAGCAGTAGTAAAAGCTAGATACTAAACACTTATAAGTAAGAGCTCCAGATCTCCAATTACCCAGTGCCAATAAAACGCTGATGTACCACACACCTGCACTCCCACCACTACACGGAGCTCAGCCCAGCAACCCAAAAGGCTGACTGGCTGCAAAGAGTCCGCATTAAAACAAAGGACCAAAAAAATAAAAAGAGGTATGAAAAAGTGAAAGTTTCCCCTCAGTACTTTAGAATGAAAGCTAAGGAGTGCTAAAATTCAGGGTTTCTTTTCTATATAAACGGTCAAAAATCATGTAAAAACATCCCAAATTCTGGTCATGTTAATCTCAAAACCAAGCAGTTTTGCTCCTAGCATCAGGCTCAGGAAAGCTCACAGGAAAGAATGTTCCTAAGGAGGGAAAGAGACTTGAGCTTATTTTCAACCTTTTTTTTTTTTTTTTTTTCCTCCTTTTCCACTAAACTCTCTAATTGACTTCAGACTAAAATACTTCATTAAAAAAAAAAAATAGATCTTGCTCAACACTGAAGTAAATATTGTTCCTTGATAAGAACAATCAAAACTATTTCCTAATCTTGTATTTGCATTTAAAAATATATATATTCTCCCACCAGTTAAAAGAACTGTCTCAAGAATGATGATTTGTTAACAAAGTCAAATAATTACATTCATCTCCTGAAGCATTTAGGCTGAGGAGAGCTGTGCACACACTCACTATGTAGGTAGGAAGAAAGGCAAAGAAGTTGGAAAGTGAAGGATGTGAGACACAACGATACTTGAGGGATAATATTTCCCGACACTTGAACAGGGCTTAAGTTCTATTGCGTACAGCACACAGTACTCAGCGCAAAGCATTTACAATCACACTTCCTCCCGCTTTAGACCTTTGAGGTTTTTCACCTCTCGAACTGAGGGGAGAAACCTCTCTCCCGCTCTGACCGCGACCCCTCCGCGTTTCGGGGGGTTCCACGCACGGGGTGAGGTGAGGGAGCGGACACAACTCAGCCGGAGCCGTCCGGCGGTACTGCGATGCTGTGCCGTACCGCACAGCGAGGAGCAGCAGGGAGGGAGGAACCCGCGGGCGCTGTGTCAGCGGGCTGCTGTAGGACACCGGGGGGATTTCAGACGGAGAAGGAAACAGTGGTCGCTTTGCTTCATCCCATCACCGAAAGTCAAGAAACAGAAAGCACAGACTTTATCATCACGGGCGGTTTCCTGAAAGCATTTACGGTGCGGGTGCGTTGTGGGGCACTGCCAAAGCCAAAGGACTAAGAAGTGGGATGGGGGCATCCCCGGCACCTTCGGATTGTGTGAACGAGGCTGCCCGGACCCAGGAGTGCTCCACAGGGACGGAGCACGTTCGGTCCCAGCCGGGGAGCGCTTGGGATGCTCAGCGTCCGGAGGACAGGATGCGACGCACCGCTCCCCCCCACCCCCCTCGGCCCCGAACGCCTATCGCGACCCGCAGGGACAACACACCGCAGCCCGGCGGCTCACCGCTCTTGGACGTCCCCAAACTTCCCGCACACCATGCCCAGGCTTCGGGCTCCCCGGCACACAGCCAGCCCGCGTAAGAACGCAGCATCAAAACCTGGGAACAGGCACTGAACCGACACACTCGAAGCCTCCCTCAGCGGCCGCCCCCAACTTCCCCGCAGAGCACCGGCAGCGACCTTTCCTCTTTCCTTTCATCCCTACCTCCCTCCCTCCGTGCGGCGCCGCAGCCCCACGCCCGCCCCTCCGCGGGGACCCGCGGCCACTTCCCAGCTCGAGAAACTTTTCCACGCCGCCCACCCACCCACCCCGCGCCGCGCTCCCACCGCCCGCGTGGCCGTGGGCCCCCGCCCCGCTCCTACCGTGCGGGGGACAAGTGAGGGAGGGAGCGCGGAGGCGGCAGTTACCGGCGAGCGAGCGCCCTTCTTGCAGAGCGGTCCCCTGAAGACGCCTTTGATGCCGCGGTAGTGCCCGTTGCTGAGGTGCCGGGAGCTGATGACCAGGTAGCACGCCATGCGGGGCCCCGGGCGGGCCGCCCGCTCCTCGGCGGCGGCGGCGGCGGCGCTACTCCCGGCGGAGCGGGAGCCCGCATGAAGGAGCGGGCGGAACCGCGGCAGCGATCTCTCCGCCGCCGGCTCATCCAGCGGCCGGCCGAGCGCTGCCAGCAGCAGGGCGATGCGCGGAGGGCGGCAGCAGCCACAGCACATCCGAGGGAGCGCGGAGGCCAGTCCGCATGCTGCTCCGCTGGCGGCAGGCAGCCCCGCGGAGAAGGGCAGCGCGCAACTTGCACAGTCCGCCGCTGCTACGGCCCCTTCCCTCCCTCTTCCTTTTCCTCCTCCTCAGAGCAGGCCGCTGGCAGGCGCGACCGGGAGGGGAGTTTCTCGGCGGCAGCTGCCCATGGCTCTTCCCTCCGGCCGCCCGCTGCCTGCAACCCCGCGTCTTGCCGTGCCGTGCCGCAGCCGGCGCCGCGCCTCACTCACCTCCGCCGGCGGCGGGCGGGGGCGGCGCGGGGCGGGGGCGGAGGAGGGGTCGAGCCGGCCGGGGGCTGGCGGGTCCGGGGAGCTGCGCCCGAGCCCCGCGATCCGACGGATAGGGGACCCTCCTCCTTCTCCTTCTCCCTCTCCTCGCCCAACTTTCCCGCTGCCGGGAGCACCACGTCCTGTTCCCTGATGCCCTTCTCATCCCCTCGGCCACCTCTCTCCCGGCCCCCACGTGAGCCCCGCCGCCCCGCAGCATGAAGCCGGCCGGCCGGGCAGCCCGCGGCTGGTCATTGTGCTGCACCCCAACTTCTGACTTTGCCCACCTCCGCAGCACTCGGGTATACGATGTTGCCTGTGACCTAAGTGATGTGCGGGGAACTGCGAGTAGGACATGCCTCGAGCGCTCAGCGCTGAAACAGGTTGTTCCTCCTTCTGCAGGAGGCGCAGCGCTGTGCGCTCAGGGCTGGCAGTGCAAGCTCAGCTCCTTTTCAGCAGGTCACAGGTATTGTCTCTGCTCGGTTACTTACTAAGTCGATAAAAGTAAGTCGATAAATCACCCGGCATTCAGAGTCACCTGCAGATCTTTTATTTCTTCCAAGTAGATTACTCGAAGCTGCAGATAACAAGCATTTCAGATCTTTCGTTTCAACCCTGGAAACCCTGTGTTTTCAGCTACTTAGTGAATGCAGCTAATTTTAGCCTCAAAAGAGCAGTCTTCCTATAAACATAACATAAATTTAAATTAAAAAGAAAATCTCACACAAGCCTCTGAACTGTATAGATAAAAAGGTCATGACAAATCAAATGTCAGCTTTTGGCCGTATATGTAACATAGTACTGTACAGCCTTAGTATAGAATGCTTCACATACTATATAAAATTTCATGATGCGTATGTGTATGTACACGAATGCCAATAATCAAATCTATTATTACATACTTAATTAATAACTGTATGATGTTACAGAGAAAAGAAAATGCGTATGAAGTTAGAATAACCCAAGGTGGGAGTAGCATATTGAGAATATCCTTTATTAACCATATATGACAGATTTCCAACATTTAAAAAAGAAAAAAACAGGGGAGAGGAGAGGAGAGGAGAGGAGAGGAGAGGAGAGGAGAGGAGAGGAGAGGAGAGGAGAGGAGATAACCCACAACTGTATGAAAGGGTTAAATTGAGAAAATAGGTGCAAAATAAACAGGAGGTAATGTGTAGCTGTGCTGTGGACTCATTACTGAAGGCCATGGTAGAGGGTAGAAGACAGAACAGTCACATGGCTCAGCGTAGTCAGGCTCTGTGGCACAGAGACATTGCCCTGCCCATAGCAGATATGTGTAGGGCTTTTCTCAAGTAAGTCATGATGAAAAGTGACTTCTTAGAAATTACACCACCATACTGAAAAAAGTTCACAGCTGTTAATTTGGGGGCAGAGATGAGCTGTTATGATTATTTCCTCCCACAAGTCCTGCAAGGGAATGGCTTGAAATTTAGGTTTGTTGGCATATAATTTACAAATTTTGTTAACTACGAGTTTCTTTCTGAAATTCCTCCTCCATGATCCTGTTAAAGATTATAGTATTAACTTCAGATTGCTTTGGGCCTGCAACTTGGTTTCTGACTCCATGGTGAACATGCAGTTCTTGAAATGAACACCAGCATCTTTACTCTCTGACAGCACCACAAACTTTCTGACTTTGCTTTCATATGCTGCAGAACAGAAAGAGAGTTTACATCCCACCCAAACAACATGCAGAGAGGCCTCAATTCTTCTTCTGTTGTGAAGAGACATGGAAATTCCTCTATTCCATGGAGCTTCTTTTGTCCTACATCTTCTACAGAGCATCCAGTGTGGCTGGCCAGCATGCATCACCTGCAGAGAAGCTGCAACAAAAGCCAAAACTCTGCAAGAGCTTCATTGTAGTCTAAGGATAGTACTTTACTCCTTAAACTCATGGAGTCTTACATAGTTCATTTACTAAGACTGTATGAAAGGGAAATGATTTGCCCCAGAATAAACTGCACAGTACCCATTTTATCCTGCTGAGGAGGATGATGTGCTCAATTGACTCTGCTGTGAAAAGTAGAAGTTATTTTAGGCTCATGTCATTTTGCCAACTCAGGGGAATAGCTACTATGACCACCAATCTAATTTATAAACAATCTGTAGAACACAAGCCTCAGAAAATGAGATTAAGACTTGTCAAATGGAACAATGAAATAATTATAACACTCCCTGAGTATCTCCCCAAGTCTCTGGAGATGCTGCACCTTCTTCTCTCTCACCATAGGTCATGTGGAAATATGAATGAACTGTTTGTAGTTTCAGCTGGATTCAATCCTCCACTGCTTCAGATCTCATAAGGCAATTTTCATCTGAGCACAGTGGATGTAAAATACTACCATTTAGAAAATGATGATATCTTTGCAGAAGTGTTAGTGACTTTTCAAGATGCCAGTAAGTAGAGAAGCAGGTCAGCTGTCACTTACAAATGATGATTAGATTAATTAAATGTTCTCCAGTTCATCTATCCCCTCAGTTTACACACGTTTTTGCCATTAATGAAGATTACTTAGCATTTATTGCCCAAAAAAAGTCTGTAAGCTTTTTCTTATTATTCTCTGTAGGGATTGTCCTCATTGCACAATGTGGTGTCAAATTGAAATACCCAGTCTAGCTCTAGAGCCACTGCGTCTGACATACAAATATAATCTGAAAATCAGGCAGCAGAGAATGATATTAATATAATCACATTACTTTTAGTGGTTGAGCTAATTCATGTGTTTCTTTTTGGCTTTAGACAGCACACTGTAGATACAGACTTAAAACTCTGTCTACACTGTGAATTTCATTTAAATTTTATTTCAAAGATTGCTCCTGAAACAAGTACTATTTGTGCACAAATTCCATCATTCTGATATTATCTCCTGTACAGGTAAAGCCTGCAGTTATCATGATTTGCTAGAATGCCAACATGATTGCTCCTCAGGCCTGAGAGCCCCAGTCCTAAAACATTTTTTCTCAATCCCTAATTGTGCTTAGAAAGAAGAAAGACATCCTCATGCCTCCAAACATGAAAAAACTCAAAGAGCACAAAGAATATCTCTTGGCACCACACCTCTGCAAATTGTACTATAGCAATCAAACACGAACAGAGGGTGTGTAGACGCACAGCTTGAATGCTGCTTCACAGTCTGGTTGTTCTTGCAGAGGTAGTTTAACAGAAGAACCCAAATGAACCTAAAGGAAGAACACCCCCTGATACTGATGTGTTTTTTTCAAGCTGACTTCCTGAGTAAGTGAGAACTTCTTGGCAAGACAGTCTGGATATAAGAATACACAATGAGGTTCCTGACATTTAGCAGCGATGTCTTAGCATAGCTTTACAGCATATATTCTCTTCAGATGTAATGGAGATTTTAAAGCTATAAATCAATTCCTGGCAATATAGGAAGATCTTTGGAGTATAATTGCTTAAACTACATAATTGTCTGTCTCCAGTTCATCTATCCCATGCTGCAATGTGAACACAGCATGCCAGAAGTAGAGCTGCAGTGGTCAGTCTTCAGATAGATCCAGAGGTGCTCAACACCAGGCTGGTTGGGGCCTGATCAGGTGGGTGGCAGCTTTGTTTATAGCAGGGGTTGAGACTGGGTGAACTTTAAGGTCTCTTCCAAACCAAACCATTCTATGACTCTATGATTCTATGCATACTATGATTCTGTGATTCTATTATCTCCATTCTCGTGGTCCAAAACTACATCTGATTCCTTCAGGTGAGAAACAAACTCCTGCCTTGCTGACTGATGACAGTTCTTGAAGTCAAAAATCAGTTTCTCTAGAAACACTTAGTTAAATCGTCTGAATACAGCCATAAACTCTTACAAAAACCTAGAGAACACTGTTACATTAAATGTCTTATTATTCCACCTAAAGACATAATTTAATATAGTATGTCTTAATTCTTTGTAATTAGAATGATGCTCATCACTGTTGAAAATTTGATTTCTTTTTCTCACTGCAGCTCATGTTTGGGGAACATTTTGTAAAGTTTGATACTTATTTAGAGTTCTGGGCAAATACAAAAACAAAAGGTGAGCTGCTTGTGTAAAACTTCTGTTTTGCTTTCAGTGAAATGGCATCTTCAAGTGTCTGCTTTTGTTGTTTTTTCTTCCTGCATCATTAGTGGTACCAATTGCACTTTTCCTGAAGTAAGGTTTGCTAAATTCTTCATTATATCTGTCTTTATTTCTTGAATTAATTTAGTCCCTCCTTATTTTATTTGACTTGAAGTACTTATCCCAACATTTTTAGCCCCGGTCTGCCTCTTTTTATCTAAATAGTAGTTACATTCCTCTTATGAATCACTTATGTAAGCAGCTTTCTATTACATGAAACTTGAATCTGTCAAGTTTTATATGCTTGAAGCACTGATGGCTAAGTTACTCTACTCTCTAGTTCATGTAGAATCAATGGCATCGTTTTATTTTGGATGGAGCTTTTTGGAATGTCTCAGTGCTGAATAATCACTTTATATA